TAGGGATTTTTAAAAGCAAATGTAAAAATAAAAATTTTATAAAAAAAAACACACACATATATTTACATAAAAAACAAAAAAAATTACTCTACCGACTGGGATTCGATCACTATCAAGAAAACCAACCACCGCATGCGAAAAGTAATTGCGTCACCTCTAGCATACACGCCACGGGACACATTGAAAATCGCTGTCTTAATCGACACTTTGTACAAGCGTTCTACAAACATCAAAACGAAATACCTCTGTACATACATACATACAAATACTACAACGAAATACATATAGACACCACGTTTACTTTTCCCCGAACTCCCGCTTCTAACGAACAAGAAATTCATTCATAAGCAAAAACTTGCATTCATAAACTCACGCGCACCCTGCACACTTGCCCCGCTACAAGCATCAGCTGTCCACAAGTTGATTTTCGGCGCGGCGATGACAAAATCTAAAAACCTAAAATTCTATCAACCACCGCGCCGATTGGAAAAGTGGCAACAGTGTTCGAAATCCCCCTTCCCCTTGCACACTTCTGAGATCTAGAAAAAATATTTTTTCCGTTGGTTATTGAAATCATGCATCTGTGCCGACAAGTGCGCAAAATTACTTCGCTTTCGTTTCCCCCGTCTTGTCAACGAATCTTCTTCTTCTTCAATAACTTCGCAAGCCACAGAAAAAGCACAAATCGAATTTGGTTCAAGTTCAGTTCAACCACCAAATTATTTATTTCATTTTCATAAATACATAAAAAACCACAGCATCGGTTCGGCGTTGAATTGTGACCGTATCGGCAAACCATCATCATAATTGCTTCGCCTATACCAACCATGCCACAGCACATCTTGAATGTTGCGCATCTTACAAGCTACATATATGTTTAATTCAAATTGCCGGTATGAGCTCAAAATTTTTTTGTACAAATAAGCAAAAATGACCTGAAAACCCTACCAAAACCTATCAAATAATTAATTAATATGTTTTATTGATATGTAGGTATGCTTTTATTCATTCATATATCACATATGTACATATAAGAATACGTTTCTTGTAAATGATATTAAAGCGGTTTAAATATTTAAAAAATAAATCTTAAATAAAAATATGCTTGAAACGATAAAAAGAAAAAAATCAAATTACTAACCGATTTTTTAAAAATTGATGTCGTTGTTAACGCAATCAAATCTTCTTTCTTCTGATATGCATATTTGTACACTTCGTATATAAAAATTAAAAAAATAACACTTAAAAGGAAAAAATACATTTTTCTACAAAAAAAAAAAACATTAACAAAGAAATAACTAACCGATTTTGAAGAATTTCATATCGTTGTAAGGGCGATTGAACCCCCATTCTTCTGGTGTGCATATTTGTATACTTCGTGAACAAAAATTTGAGAAAATACACTTGTAAGCAAAAAATAACTTTTTTTATAAATACAAAACAATTAAAGTATTTAAAGCGTAGGTGCATCATACGGTCAGTTTGTTCTTTTAGAGCGCATACATAATGTAACTATCAATATCTTATAAAGAGAAGTGTAATTTTTTTTTATCTAAAACTAATAAAGTTAGAAGGACGAAATTCGAGGATGTGGTAGTTAACATATTAGTCCTTGACATATATATATATTTTTTTCAAAAATAAATATGTATTAGAAATTTCCAAGGATATTCAAGGATAAAGTTTTAAAATGACATTTTCAATAATTATTCGTCCTGGTGCACCCAACAATTAATTTTTTTCTATTCTACAGAATTTTCCCTTTTAATTGATACCCATATTGTTATTCTACAATGCACCTTTTGAATAATTTTTTTATTAAAATAAAAATAAAAAAAAATAAAAAAATAATTATATACACACATGTTTCACCAGCAATCATTCGCACTAAACCTAACCCAAAAGCCCCATTTGAAATGCCGACTGCAAATCAACCACGAGTTGGGCAATTGCATTTTTGCACAATTTTCACATATTTATTAACATATCTACGTTTTGCAGTCAAAGCATATCTTCGAGCAACAATTTTCATATAATTAAAAAAATTTAAGCAATTTTCATCATTATTTTAAATAAATCAATGCTCCGAAAAACAGAAACTTGTATATACACATTTGCAACAATTCTCAACAACACCTTACACACCACCGCAACATATTTTACAGAAAATATATACAAAAAATGTTAAAAACCTCTAATGAACATGTTAAACGGACTGGTGAAATTCCATAGTGCCAATAACTCCTACAGCTATAACACAGTGACTGTGGTGCTACTTACGGAAGTTCTGAAACTACTTGTGTCTGCCAGTCTCTATTGCAGGGAGTATGTATACATATCCAATATACATATGTATATGCATACCATGATTCAATTATTAAAGGTTTTGTAAGTAGCTTTTTTCTAAAATTTGGCACTCCCACCCACAGGGATGGTTTTTGGAAGCAGAAGAAAAAGGGGAAGAATTCAATCACACTTCCTAAAATGGGAGCTAAATTCTATAAAAACGTGTGGATAATAGTGAATGGTGGTATTTTAAAACAAAAACGAATTTGATTTAATTATTTAATTTAAACAAGCTTATTTACATCGAATATAACCCCCTATTGTTATTAAAAATAAATATTTCTATGTTTATACCAAACTTGCGTACGTCAGATGGCGCATAACTCGAGAATGGATGGTCCACTTTCAGCTTTTTTTTTGTTGTATTTGTTTGCCAGTTGATGGACATGAAGAAGCTATTTGTTTGCGGAAAATATGCAATATTTATTAAACAAAAAAACGGCAAATAAAAAAATTTGGAGCTTACGTTTCTTTCGCGGTTATGGCTCGATTGTTTCGAATTCTTTGATGTCGCACTTTTTATGTTCTGGGGAAAATATTCAACACTGGCTTGCACAGCCGCAGTTGGCGATTGGTGCCGGACGAACTCAGAGCACGCAGCTACTGAACGACTGAGATAGGGAACGTGATCTACATCGTCAAATGAGAAGTGGCGTAATGGGGCTTTCGCACGAGGCGATTTTTCAGGCAACTTTTGCGTTCAACTCCCGCCGGGTTGCACGAAAAAAAATTTGAATGACTAAAAATATCAAAATATAAAAAAATATTAAAATATTCGCCATAAAAAGGCGTTTGTATTGTTCAACTTTGCATTCTACTTTCAGCTAATCGCTTTCAATAAAGTTGGTCGCCAGCCAACATTCGCCTCGTGCGTACACCTTTTAAGTGTGCAATTACATCGCGCCATTGACTAAACCGTCAAAATCTCATTCGGAGACACCAGGATTGTGTCGTGGAGTACAATACCTAAATACCTTCGTTGGCTCATTGAACGCTTTACTTTACAGCGACTTGGCAGAATCAAGAGGTCTCCACGAATATCGACAAATACATTTCGGCATTTAAGGGAATTTCGTCTCTTAACATTGAATTTCTGTAGTCCAACGATTCTCACCCATTTTGTCTTGTTGGCGCCAGCGAATGCAGAACAAACATTTCTTCAAATTTAAAAAGTAAAAATTTCACTACTAACAATTTAAAAATGTTCTTAAAACTTGCAAAGAAATTTGGAAAAGAAATATCACTGTTTTTGTTTTTAGGAGTAGGGTGGGAGTGTCATTGATAAAATTAGAGCGAGAGAAAGTTTTTCTTACAAAACCTTTCATTATTGAATCATGTATGCATACCATGATAAAAATATAGTAAGGTAGAACCGCTGAGAGTCACTTTTAAAATTCTTGACGTTTCCAAACAATTTAATTTTTAAATTTACTCACAAACTCACACACACATTTTCATTTTCTATCTCAAGCAACAACAATTTCGAACAATTTCAATTTTTTATTTTCACTTTTATATGATTTTAAAATGTTGGCAAACTTCAAAAAAAAAATCATGGCCGACAAATTGAGAGAACGGTTATACCTTGCTATGTTTTTATCATGATGCATACGACGTTTTTAATAACTCCAAAAGTATAAGGCGTACTTACATACATTTATATTTTGTTAAATAGAAGAAACTTACCCAGTCTGCTACGCGATGTGCGGAAGGATTCAGATGTCATGATGCTTTACTTTGTACCCGCGTTTCTCTATTGCCTTTACAACAATTTGGCTTTTATCAACTTATCCACGTTTGACCCAACAACGTATTACCTTTTACTGCAGCTACGTGTTGTTATCACTGGCGTACTATTTCAGGTTAGTATTAATTTTATATTTTACATTCCGGATGACTAAATCATAACAACTCAATGGTCCAAATGAGCTGCTTACCTCTGTCTTGTATTGCTATTTTAACGTCTTGCCAAGTTGTTATTCTTGTCACAATCGCTTGTCATATGTACTATCAACGCCGTTGTTTTATATTTTAGATAATTTTTAAGAAGTACTTGACGCGCCGCCAATGGATCTCGCTTTTACTACTCACACTGGGATGTATGTTAAAGCAAATTAATTTGAACATGTTCTATGGAGATACCAATGATGATAGTGAAGCTGCTGCAGTGCAACAAGCGAACTTAAATGGGACATCAGCCTCTGTATCGAGGGTAAGCGGAAAAAATATGACCGGTTTCGACCTAAGTCTCAGTGCCGTACTCATACTGGCACAAACGATATTTTCGT